CCCCCCCCCCCCCCAATGAGGTTGCCACAGTCCGTCTTTCTTTTTTCAAAAAACTAAGTAAGAGTGGCATTTTAAAACCTCGCTTCTTCAAGGCAGTCTTCTTTATACGGCTTTTTGGCTCTTACTCAACTGTACCAAGCACTCTTGCATCTGCTTTTAAAGTCTTCAGACTACTGTATTAGTCATAGCCTCTCACAGGGAGCCACAGGACAATGGGGATTAAAGGCCTTTCCCTTCTCTTCCAGGCTGCCCCGAAGTGTAGCTCCAGTGCTGTGAGGTTTCGAGGGGTGACCGCCGGGACCATGAAAATGGACATGGAGGACGCAGACATGACTCTGTGGACAGAGGCTGACTTTGAAGAGAAGTGTACATACATTGTGAACGACCACCCCTGGGACTGTGGGGCCGACGGAGGGACCTCAGTTCAGGCAGAGGCGTCTCTACCAAGGAATCTGCTTTTCAAATATGCCACGAACAGCAAAGAGGTAAGCCTCTGGTTTGTTGCTGGAGAAGATTGGCACCTGACGCCAAATCTCCCTACTTGCCCTTGCAGCCTCGTATATCCGTGAGAATCTGTAAGTATCAATACTTAATCGATCCCTTAATTCCCTTCTTTCATTGCTTTCTCTTTCCCCAAGTCTGTCCTCCTCATTTCCTGCAGCTCTCAGCTGCTCCCTACTAATTAGTAAACAGTTCAGTCTTTTGGTGAGTTGACACATCTTGGGAAAGCTGCATTGCAGAAGGAGGTGGGCGAAATTGACAGTGACCTTGGAGAAAGCCACTGTCCACCCCCGGACTCCCTGACCCCTGGTCCTCCAATTGTACAGTAGCTTCTGAGGGAGAAAACTTTTTCTTAGGGGGAAAAAAAAAAGTTTTTCATGTTTCTTTTGTCTCCTTTTGGTCATGAGATGGCTTTATTCTTTTTAATGAGCCAGCTTTATTAGCTGGGTTTCTAAAATTATTCTCAAAACCTTGACGTGTTTATGAACTGAAGTGATGGTGTAGACCAAGAAGAGGTTCGTGTAAAAGTGTCCTCTGTCCGGATGACTTCAGAGCTAACCACTGTGTTTATCTGCGGCAACTCCTTTGCTCTGGCTGGGCTGGCAGGCCGATTCCTTATTGGCCTCTGAAGTGGGTACACCCTTTGTTGTTTCAAAGGGGCTGGAAACCCAAACTTGGAATGAGCAAAGGATTTGTGTTTACCCTTTTATATAACGATTATAGTGAGGCGTGATGTTTAGCTGTGAAATAACTTGCAGAACCACCTCTGGTTTTGAGAATTCAGCTACTGCGGTTAGTTGTTCTTACTAGTCCATAAGCTGAGCTGACTTGAGGGAATCAGCCCCCCAACAGACTTCCCACCACCACTACTCCCATAGGTTACTGTCGCTTCCGTCACTGTCTTCAGAAAGAAGTGATTCCTTGCTGTAGGAATCCATAATTTGATACTGGGACAATTCATTAGAGCCATGTCAGATCACTTTCCTCCTTCCCCAAGGAACAGTATTTGAAGGAGTCGGGGAGCCTGTTTGGGAAATACTTTGTCTCTTTCCTGTTTGTGTCTGAGTTCAGTGTTTTCGGTGAGGGGGAGACACAGCTGTCTAAAATTAAATAGAGCAACTCTGCTTTGAGTTTCATTAAAGCTTAACCTTTTTTTTTTT